TGGCGGCTCTGGATGGACAGTTGGATAAATGGCTCTATATTTAGGATGTATCCGGTCTATAAATGGCGGCTCTGGATGGACAGTTGGATAAATGGCTCTATATTTAGGATGTATCCGGTCTATAATTGGCGGCTCTGGATGGACAGTTGGATAAATGGCTCTATATTTAGGATGTATCCGGTCTATAAATGGCGGCTCTGGATGGACAGTTGGATAAATGGTTCTATATTTAGGATGTATCTGTGCACATCTTATAATCTATATTATTACCTCCTCTGCTGCCAGTTCCAGCAATGTCTCCTCTCTACTTACTCCCAACCGGTACTTCCTGTTTGTATCACACATTACTTCCTGTCTGAGCGTTCCACACACTATAAATGGACTCCCCACCTTGGGGAGAACATGAACACCGTAGGATGTGTTACGTTTCATCCTTTTATAAATGTGAAACTAAAAGAATGAAAACCATTCAAAATCAAATTTTATAAAGTACATTTACACTTTTATATCAATTTGATTTCTTAACATTGATGGTAAGATCGTTATCGATATTACATTGATTTTCTTTATTATCACAAACGGAGATTACGAAACAAATGTTTAATATCGATTGTGATTTAATATTTACAATATTCCTGAAACGAAATCATACGTGAGGAATAGAAATGAGTTCCTGCCACAGATTGTGACTTTCACTTCTGGAGAATCCAATCACCGGGAATGAATGTACGAGGGAAGGATAGGCAACTCTCATCAGATCCGGTCTCCTCCGGGGTTTTACATTGCAATGATGAATACATTCTTTGACAGCTCTCCTCCCACCATCCACACTACATTCTCTGACAGCTCTTCTCCACCATCCACACTACATTCTCTGACAGCTCTCCTCCCACCATCCACACTACATTCTCTGACAGCTCTCCTCCACCATCCACACTACATTCTCTGACAGCTCTCCTCCCACCATCCACACTACATTCTCTGACAGCTCTCCTCCCACCATCCACACTACATTCTCTGACAGCTCTCCTCCACCATCCACACTACATTCTCTGACAGCTCTCCTCCCACCATCCACACTACATTCTCTGACAGCTCTCCTCCCACCATCCACACTACATTCTCTGACAGCTCTCCTCCCACCATCCACACTACATTCTCTGACAGCTCTCCTCCACCATCCACACTACATTCTCTGACAGCTCTCCTCCACCATCCACACTACATTCTCTGACAGCTCTCCTCCACCATCCACACTACATTCTCTGACAGCTCTCCTCCACCATCCACACTACATTCTCTGACAGCTCTCCTCCACCATCCACACTACATTCTCTGACAGCTCTCCTCCACCATCCACACTACATTCTCTGACAGCTCTCCTCCACCATCCACACTACATTCTCTGACAGCTCTCCTCCACCATCCACACTACATTCTCTGACAGCTCTCCTCCACCATCCACACTACATTCTCTGACAGCTCTCCTCCACCATCCACACTACATTCTCTGACAGCTCTCCCCATAGTGTCCACACTACATTCTCTGACAGCTCTCCTCCACCATCCACACTACATCTCTGACACCTTTCCCCCCCCCTCT